TGGGGGTTTTTAAGAAGAGGTTAGATGAACACCTTGCTGGGGTCGTTTAACCCCAGTACTCTTTCCTGCCATGGCAGGGGGTCGGACTAGATGATCTTCTCAGGTCCCTTCTGACGCTAGAAACTATGAAACTATGAGCCAACAGTGTGCTCTTATTGCCAAGAATTCTAATGGCATACTGGGCTGCATTGGTAGGAGTGTTGCTAGCAAGCCAAGGGACGTGATTATTCCCCTCTAGTCAGCAAGGGTGAGGCCACATCTGGAGTACTGTGTTCAGTTTTGGGCTCCCCTTTACAGAAAGGAGGTAGACAAAGTGGAGAATGTCCAGCAAAGGGCAATGGAAATGGTTAGGAGGCTGGGGCACGTGACTTCTGAGGAGAGGCTGAGGGAACTGGCCTTATTTAGTCTAGTTAAGAGAAGACTGAGGGGATTTAATTGCAGCCTTAAACTACCCAGACGGGTCTAAAAGAGGATGGAGTTAGACTGTCCTCAGTGGTAGGTGATGATAGAACAAGAAGCAGCAGTCTCAAGTTGCAGCAAAGGAAGTTTACGTTAGATATTAGGAAGAATTTTCTCACTAGGAGGGTGGTAAAACACTGAAACAGGTTACCTAGAGGGGTTGTGGAATCTCCATCCTTAGACATTTTTAAAACCCTGGTAGACAAAGCCCTAGCTAGAATGATCTCTTTGGGGTTGGTCCTGCTTTGAGGGTTGGACTAGATGACCTCCTGAGGTCCCTGCCAACCCTAATAGTCTATAACAATGTAAGGTGGACAAAGTCAGGCTCAGACTTCAGACGCTGGGTAAAAATCCAGTGCAAGACTTTAACTGCTGTTTGGACAGCTCCAAGGCTCAGAAACTATATTAGGGATTATCCACCTACAAAATTAGCATTATGGGAACATGTATGAATCTTAAAGTATGTATTTCCACCTATAACTAACTAAACACTTAGGCCTTTAATCTCCGAAGATAGGAAGAGGCACTCCATGTTGGTGATGCCTATAAAACGGAATACATTTAAAACATTTTTGTCAAGCCATTTTTGGACTCCTGGAATTTGCCAGAAACATATGAACACTTTATTAAGTGAATTTAGATTTTTTTGGAATACATCTGGCTGTAAAATATCTATTTTGTGCCCCAAATTTTCCAATTATTTTATCTCTGGCAAAGGACTTGGCATGTAATTTCTTACATGCATTAGTTAGTGCAAGAAAGTTAGAAAGGATCATTGAAGTGGAAAATGCAAATTCAGCTCCAAGGGTGAGCTTTATAATGGGTTATCTGATAAATACAACACTTGTTGCAACAGAATCCTGACTCATGTTTGAGGTCACTGCAAGAGAACACAATAAAAATAATCAATTATCAATATTTTTAAGTAACAGAAAGTGAAGAGGAAAAAGAGAAGGAAATAAGATTAAGGAAAGGTGAAGGAGAAGAAAAGTGAAGCTTTTCCTAATTGCTAAAGAACAATTACTAAAGAAATAATAAAAGAATTTCTGATGTCAGAATTACAACATTTTGTTCACTTGCATAGGTAAAAAATAGTAGAGGACAACAGGAGGTTCAACTGTCACACAGAGTTGGGTGTTAACTGAGTTAAACTGAACTATATGATTTGATGTACTTAACTATAAACACTTACCTGGAAACTTGGTGTATAGACAATGGTAACAACTATAATTCTATGAAAAGGATATGCACAAAAACCATTACAACAGAGACAGGGATTTTTTTTTTTTTTGCATGATAGTTTGGGTAGGAACAGCTGAACAGTTAGACAAGCTTTCAGATAGAGTTAGACAAGCTTTCAAATGCAAGGCATTTTCAAGTCGAAAGAAGAATGTCTTGTATTCACTTGTATTGCTGCAGGACTATGCAGATGTAAGAAGTACTGCATAACAGCTGCTGCATGCTCCTGAGCAGCAGCTGCCTTTTAAGAGCAGCTACAAATATAGGTTTATCCACATCCTTCTTCTGATAAAGGATAAACAATAGATACAACTCAGTTAGCTTAAACGGGCACTGCAAACACACACAGTATTTTCTCACATGCTAACCCTTCTCAAATAAGACCCACACCCTATTTTTTGGAAGACAGAATATAGGAAGATTTTTCTAGTCGTGGCTTAGAGCTGACTTTTTCATGGAAAACAGTTGCTGCAAATTAGTTGCTGCTGCTCTCTCAGCCAGCAAGCAACAGAGGCAAAGTCCTTTTCACAGACTGGCACAAGGTTTTGCCTGCTTGGCCAAAAGCTATTGCCAATTTAGTAGTAGCTGTGGAAGGGTTAACCCTGAACTCCACCCCTGCTGCTTTCTGGCTCAGAGGGAAGCAGCAGTCACTTTGTAGTACAGTCTTTCATGCTTGTATTCTTCCATGCTTCTATTCCAGCAAAGAAAATCAGCTTCCTTGCTTAAGACACTCACACCAATGTTGGAAACTGATTTTGGAGGGAAAGGTGCATGTGGTATGCAAGTGAGTGAGAGAGACAGAGAGAGAGAGAGAGTGTGTGTGTTGCTGTTGATGTGCATCCACACATTCATGGTTGATTTAAAACCAGTATATGATTGTATTCATAAAGCACATGGGGAAAAGGTGACTAATCTACATAAAAGGACTGATTAAAATTACAGAAAGCTGAGTGCTTACCACATAGTTTCTGCAGGGATTTCTCTGAGTATGTTTCCCGGTCACAGCCCTTTCCAATATAATTAGTCTGCAGTTCAATGGTGGTCTGGATTGAGGAAACTGGCCCATCACAGGTTTCCAGGTGAATGCTGGGAAACAAAGGTATGCTGCCAGAACCAGGCTTATACTCAATACGCTTGCTCCAGTCTGAGAAATAAAGATGTACATCACAGAATGAGTAAGAAAAGAGACAGGGGACTATGGTGATTACAGTAGGACTATTTCCTGTCCTGCATTAAATGATACAGGCCAGGAGAGCAGACAGGAAAGACATCAGTACAGCAGTGCTGAAGAAACGGTGCTTAGAAACAGCAAATGTGGAAGTTCTCCTCAGGTGCTATAGAAACTCAACGTACAAAATTCTTGCTGAGGTTAAAAATAAACCCATCAAGTTAATCTGGAATGTAAAACAAGGGTTGTGATGAGGCAGCTGGCTCAGCGGCAAGCAAAAGCAGGTGTGTTTGTTGTAGGGATATGAACAGTTAAATGATTAATCATTTAACCAATCAGTTCTAGCTTACCAGTTATCGTTTAGCCAGGTGCATCCTGGGAGGGGAAGGAAGCCCTGGGGTGCCACAGCAAGAAGTGGAAGGCAGTAGGGAGGAAGGGAGAGAAGATTGAGGAGGAAGGGAAAGAGGAAGGGTGACTTAATAGCTAGACTACATGGAGCAAGGGAGAGGGGAGTGAGGAAGAGGAGGGCAGGGGTTGCTTGTTCCCTCCTTCACAGCACACCAGCGACTGGAGTGGGCTTGTAGAGGCCCCCACTGGCTGCTGCCTGCCTGGCAGAGCTGTGCTCCTTGCCTCTCCCCTCTCTCCTGCACTGCTGCAGCTGGCCCCTGGAAGCTGCACACTGGTGGCTGCAGCACCTCGCTGGCTGCTGCCACCTGGGGCTTCCTGTGTTGTGGCAGGTGGCAGCAGCCAGCAGCATGCAGCTTCCTGGAGCCATCTGCAGTAGTGCAGGAGGGAGGGGAGAAGCAGGCAGCTCCCTTCTGCACTGCTGCAGCTGGCCCTGGGAAGCTGCATGCCAGTAGCTGCAGCCTCCTGGGACTTTCTGGTTTGTGCTGCCTGCCTAGCAGGGTTGTTTTAGCCTCCAGCTCCCTGTGGTGATCCAAGCAGGTGGGTGCAGCCCCTCTTCCATGACAAGGCGGGGCGGGGCGGGGCAGGGCAAGGTGGAAGTAAGTGGGTGCAGGGAAACTCCCCTGGGCCTGTGGTTCAACTCCTACCTTCCCAGTTTGCACTCGGACCGGGCTCAGAGAGGACCCACCAGCCTGCCTGCAAGGTGCAACCCTGGGAAACTGCTGACTCCCCACTGCACCTTGCAGGGCTGGAAGTGCCACACTGGTGCCAGGCTGAGCAAGGGTGCCCTGCAGGCCAGGCTGGAGACTGCCATAGTGATTAATCATTT